TCCTGGTTCAAAAACGTAGACATCAGTTGACTGAAACACAGCCTGAATTTCCCCAAATATTCTGAATTAATAATCCTAGGAAATATTTCAATTCCTTGTATATTTAATCTGCTTCTTCCTAAGAATAGACCCATGGTACCTAAGGGAATTGGTACCCAGATGCCCATGGGGATTTTAACAGGTTCATCTCCACCGAGTGAAGTCACCTGTTCAGCAGTGGAAAGATTTAATCTTGTGTGCTCTGGGATTCCAGTCATAAAGTACTCAACAGTGTTTCAGAGATCCACAAAGGATTGGGAGTGCAGGCCTGTGTGCGAAATCCTCCCACCATGTGTTGGGCCAGGGGCCAGGCTCACATCCCATGTCCCATCAGTGGAGTTCTGAGTTTGTGATATTTAGAACACACTGTGTAGCACACTCCTTCCTTTTTGACATCTGGGACCCAGGCCTGGTGGCCTGCCCTATGGGGATGGATGCTGCTCCACTCTTCATGTGGACTTGAATACACTGTCCATGAACGTGGCTGGCTTTGCCACAACTGAAACCTTGTACTTTTGAAGAAATCTGTTCCTGTCTAATCCAGCTTTGATAAAGAGACATTAGTTCTGTGTGGACCACAGATGGAAGGCAAGGAGGAAGAGGAGAAAGAGCTGGGAGCCAGGACCCTTCACCCTCATTTTCATCTTCTCTCAAGGGTGCACTAGGTGTGGAACATTTTCTTAAAGTTAAAGGAAAACAAAAACAAAACAAAAAAACCACTTTACACAGCAGGCTTCCTGTGGAGAAAGTTTCAGGGGACAGAACAGCGCCCTGCATGTGTGCATGCTCCAAACAGCTTCTATTCTATTCGAATGTTTTCCTTCAAATGTTTCAGTCTGAGGAAAACAAGGACTGTGTTTGCTAACACCCCGTAACCTACGGGGCAGCAACTGGGCACTGACATGAGCACCAGAGCGGGCCAGCAGAGTTTCCAATAGAGGGGTAAATGCAGTGTTTCAGTTGGCAAATTCTGCCCCATTATCCTGGCTGAGAATGTTTTCTCTGCGCCCTGAGATTTTTTTTTTTTTTCTTTTCCCGCCTTACCCTGGCTGAGAAAACTTTCCACACACAATCACATTCTTTTTCTTTCACTCAGTGATAGGTCAGGATTCAAAGTTTACCAGGTACCCTGCCCCCGAGTCTCTCCCTCTCGGCCTCTTGCAGAGTCAAACCCAGAATCGCAGAATAGGTCCGCCAGACTGTGACCTGGACAAGCACAGGAGAAACTCCTCCTTGTTAACATTAAAGGTCCCCCACAGACCAGGTAGCCTGCCAAGATTAGCTCTCCCTCAGCTGTTCCTGCCAGCGATAACCCTCCCTAAAAGATCCTATAAAGTCTCCTGTGCCCCCTATGTTCACGGCTGTCTTGGTTCAATAGACAGCCGGCCTGCCTGATGCCCCCAGAAAATCTACTCGCGTCAGAATGTCTGGTCTGGTCGGCGGCATGGGTTCCGACCTAACACTGTATTTTCTTTCTTTCTCACTTTTTTTCTGTTCATTTGCTCACTTCTTTTTCTTTGCTCAACTCTTTCTTTCTTTTTGCCTACTTTTTCCCCCCTCTGCTGTGCAGTTACTTACTGACTCCATCTTCTGCTCAGGCCGAACTTCCCTGGTCAGGTCCCCGAGTGGGCAGCACTTTAGGGATTCATCCTGCTAGCAGTGCCTAACCAGAGGGGGATCTAAGAGTTAAGACAAGACACAGGGATAATTTTGAAAGGGGGGTAGGGGGTTCTTGCTTCTAGAGGAAAAAGGAATTGAGCATCTGATTCACCCTATTGTTCTTTTCTAACATGACAGCAAGTAATTAGAGCAGCAGAAGATCCTTCTGCCTCCTGTTGTCTGTAATACATGCTCAGGTAAATACCCGGAGCTCAGCTGTGCCAGCTCCTCCTTGGAATTTGCAGTGTGCCAGCGAGTGGTGTGTTGCCAAGGAGCACGCCTAGTTGCTTTTGTCCTTTGTTCACAGAGGACGTCCATTAGGCCGTGATCTGTATTAACAGCTGGCCTCCTGCAGCTCATCTCTGTTACATGGTAGATAAATTGTGTGTATCTTCTAAATGACTTGTTCTTCCACAAAATTTTGTATCTGTGCTTTAGCAAAAATTGGTTAATATTTTATCTGCAAATCTTTCAATTATTCCTTTATTGAGTAGGTTTCATTCTGCTTTTCTGTTTTCCTATTCTCCTTCTCAAGCTCCATATAGTGTATGTTTTTGCCCTCAAAGGTCTATGTCTTGCAGACTTTCTTCTTATCATATTTTTATTTTAAAATATGACTAAGTGGTTTAAAATGATGTGTCTTCAAGCTTTCTTTTTATTTTTCCTTTTATTTTTGGTGGTGAGGATCCAACTCAGGACCAAGCATTTGTTAGGCAGGTGCTTGAGCCACTGAGCTGTCTCCCTAGTGTGCCTTCCCATTTTACAAGTTCTGTTGGACCTAATTACCTGTTGAATCTCTAAATGTATTTTTTATTTGTTTATATAGTGAATTCTTACACCACAAAATTTCTGCTCATTACTATTTATGTCTCTATTGTTGCTAAATTTCCCATTCAGATCATGATTTGTTTTCTTCATTTTATTGATCCATGTACATAATATATTCTTCTACCTTTTTACCATTAAAACCATTGCTTTAAATTCATTTTCAACATTTTCCTTCATAACAAAAAGTGTGTTGCTGAAAAATTGTTATTATCTATTGGTGTTGTCTTATTTCCTTCTTCGTCATATTTTTTCTGCCCTTATGTGAACATCTGTACATCTGGGAGACCAGTTGCTACTACAACTCTCATGGATGTCTTTACAGAAAGATGCTACTCCTAGAGAGAGGTTCTAGAGAATTAGTTGTATGAACTGCATTGGTTTGCACCCAAATGAGCACATTAACACAGTGTCTATGTAGCTCATCACGGTTTAATAAGCAGCACCTGTGAGTGCTGTGAGTGTCTCGGGGCCCAAGCTTCGGTGGCGCGCAGGCCTTTTCTGGAGCCTGAGATACTGACTTCTGAGACGTCATCCACCGACTGTCTCACAGCTGGTGGCTCTGGAACTGGCAATCTTCGCTTCACTTCTAAGAGCCTACAAGGAGGCAGGGATTGTGGGAGATGAATGCACAGTGACCTTGGTGGTGTACGTGAGGTGCAGCAGACACAACAGTAGAAGCAGGACATTCATCTATGCCCAAGACTATCGGACAGCGAAATTGCTGAACTTGAAGGAAAAACATACTCATTTCAATAAGTCAATGTTTCATCGAATATATCTGACACTTAACTGCACTATGATGTTTTCTTAGTCTCAATTGCATTAACTTCTGCTCTGATCCTTGTAATTTCCTCCACTGTACGGGCTTTGGGCTTGCCTTGCTCTTGTTTTACTAGCAGCTTGACTCTCGACATTAGCTTGCTTATTTGAGCTCACTAAGTTTACCTGTTCTGGAAAGCCACACCTATAAATTTCCTTCATAGGACACTATTCATTGAATTACTTAAATTTTGATTTATGTATTCTGGCATTATTGTTTTATTGCAAAAAATTGTCTAATTTCTTCTTTAATTTCTTCTGTGGCATACTGGTTGTTTAGGGGGTTGTTATTTAATTTCTTTGCATTTCTAGACTTTGGGAAATGGGTAGAAAATGGGAACAGGAAAAGTGGAGAGAAGAGGGGAAAATGATGAAAGGCACAAGAATGAAAACAAAACAGAAAGGGAAAGATGAAACAAAGTATTTTTAAATAAGGAGCAGAAAAGGAATTGAATGCAAGGGGAGGAGTGAGAAAAATGAAGAACAAAGATATATCACGTATGGGTATAAGATCCCTATGATGACTTATAATTACGCATATCTATAATCTATTAATAAAGTTTGTGAACAATTGAAATAATGGTTACAATGGACTTTGCTTTGGGATAACCAATTACATGTGTGGCTTTGGGCACAAAGTTTTGACTTGTTGGGCCTTGCGTGGCTCCTCAGTCTGTACTGATTCCTCCAGTGTTCCCTTAGCCATTTCCCCAGCTGACTTCTTCTCCCCAGCACACGTCACGCATACTGGCATTCTCGGCATCCTGGAGTACACTGCCATCCACCGACTCTTCCACTCCTCAGTGTAAGATCGTGAGGACTCCGTGGAACCGATGTCCTTTAACTGAACCTTCTGTGTCTAAAATGGTATCTGGGTGAACAGTGTCCTCCATATTCATCTGCCAGGTGGATGAATGGATGAGATTCATCAAGATGTTTACAAAGATTAGCTTAAAATAGATTAAATATAGATTTCTGTTGATCACTAACTTTAGGACGTTTTTAATGTGAAACATTCATAATAGAAGCTTAGTACTACATGTGGTGTAAAAAGTCGTTCCCAATAAGAATTCATAAAGTTTTAGAATTTGCATTCTTTAATAGTCAAATGTACTATTTATTAATACCACATTGAGAATCTTAGAAGAAAGCTACGTATCTTGTCTATGAAGAAAAGACTAAAACATTAATTCCCATGTTTTGAATTTAAACCCAGAGCTTTAATTACCATGATAAAGAGGAACTGAGAATAGACACCTACAAAGGAAGAGTGTCACAAAAGAAATACTTTATTTTCATAAAAAGCTTTTCCATTTTGAAAAGCAGAACTTTAGGAGCACAGCCCTGGATGCTCTACAGAGCCACAGGAGAAGGCAAGCAGGGCGCCTCGTGTGCTCCGATGTTGAATTATGCTTATGAACCACAACTCATAAGCAACAGCAGGTCAGTTATTGAATGAGTTTAATTGTACAAATATTTTCATTTGCTATTATGGAACCGTGCCTGCTCCTCTTCTCTGAGTCTCTCCATGGGATGTGGAAGAAAATATCCCAAGGATGCGCTCTCAGACACAGTTTAAACTTCAGCAATCCAGCCTGGTTTAGGAAGAGGAAAGCGAGCCGACAGAGCGGAATCATTTATTGCTCAGGAGCTCTGTGGGTCTCGTTGGGAAGGAAGTGGTACAGCTTTCATTTTCATATCACTCAGGAGTGTAGGCGAGGACAGCCATGGCTGGTGAGTGCTGGAATTTTTATCTGAAAAAAGGTCTGGTTTTAGGGAATACATTGCTCTGAAAGGTGTGGCTCTTTTGTGGATGTGTAGGTGGGCAGGTCTGAGGGGGAGAAAGAAGGGGAGGAAGAGAGAGACTCAGAAGATTCTGAGTGTAGTTGGCAAGTGAAGCCTGTGTTAGAAGTGGTTTGGGTTTTACTGGCATGAGCTGCTATTTTGCAATCTTTCTTAACTCCTAAGTGTCTGCAGTTGGGCAGAGGAAGCTGAAACAAGACAAAGTGAGGAAGAGGCTGCTGTGACAAAGAATATGGGTGTTTAGTGTTTTACTCTTTTGTTACTCAGAGATAAATAGAAGATGTGAGCTGTGACAGAGAAACATGTGTTGCTCACTTTGCAAGGGCAGGATAGGAACTCCGTCTTCAGGCCACTCCATGCACGCAGATGGCCCTGCTGGAGGGACAGACGTGGCGGAGCAACAGAAAGAAAGTACACTGAACTTTGCAGAGATGGATGAGTTGGAACTGAGACTAAAAGAGATTTTCTTGTTCAAAATCTGAGAGCAAAATAAGCATTTTTTTTTTTTTTTTGACTTGAGAAATTCTCATGTTCCCAACAGACAAAATCCTGAAGGGAAAAAGAAAGGAGTTTGTTCACTCGGTCGGCACAGGTACTCTAAACGGTCTGCTGGATGAACTGCTACAGAAGCAAGTGCTCAACCAGGAGGAGATGCAGATTATAAAGTGTCAGTATGCAACGACTATGGACAAGGCCCGGGATTTGGTGGACAGCCTCATCGCTAAGGGGCCCAAGGCCTGCCAGATCTGTATTGATCACATCTGTGAGGAAGACTGCCACCTTGCTAGGACACTGGGGCTCTTCGCAGGTAAGGCTCAGTGGTCGGGTTGAAGGTCATACAGCCCACACGTCTGTGCAAACCAGGCCTGTGTCTTCTTTCTTGTTTATTAACTCATCGCTTCCATGTGGTGTTGCTTAATTTAGTGCTCACTTTTTTATTTCATGGAAAAATTAAGAATTGAAACAAAATTATAGGAAAATAACAACAGTTAAAATAGTTGATAAATTGCATTGTTATTTCCATAGTCGTTTCTCAGAGTATAAGATATACACATAAAAGTCTTCCCAAATATTATCAGCACAATCCTATCTTTTGAACGAACTAAAAGAAACTATTAGTATAAATATCTTGTATGGTTTTCTTTTTCTTTACTAATATAGTGTGCAGGTAGCTTCCTAACCTGTAAATTCAGGGCTCCATTTCTGTGTCAGCAAGATGTCTTCACATTTTTCTCCTCTTTTTTTTTTTTTCATGAGTTAGTTTTAAATGACAGTCCTCCACTGAATCTCCTTTCCTACTCTGTGTACATTTTTGCATTTTTTGAAGTTAGTAAAACAGTCTTTAAAGCACCAAACGATATCCTTTAATCCTTATGGTAAGGAACTTACTGGCTTCATGAATATAAAGCCTCAAACTGACTAGAGGCTTAAGCTCTCATCAGATGTGAAGACACAGGCATATAATCTAGCACTTTCCATAAACTTTCTCCAAAATTTGGCTTCTGGTAAATACAATGTAGCTGTATGGAGGCGCAGCACTTAGAGAATAAGTGGAAATATATACAGCAATGGAAGGCTTTAACACAGCCTCCCGCTCTCAGGCGTGACCTCCATTTCCTTTCCTACTCAGGACTGTCCACCAGCACGGCGCACTTCCAGGACTGAATTAGTCTGCACCTCCCAGACTATTTGCAGGTGCCTCTGAGGTGCTGGCAAAGTCCTTTTTCAGTCTGGCTGGATTTATATGTGGTTTCTGTGTTTATCTATGTGCCATGAATTCCTTATTTTTCTCTCAGTATTTTATTTTCTTTTTATATCCTACAAAGTTCCTTAAATAAAAGATAATTAGCCAACAACAGTTAGGATCTGGAATGATTATAGAATAGCCAAGGTAACTTCTTTCTTTCTTGATTTCTGTCTTTGACTCATAGAGTTATTTCCACCAATGACTGTGACTGTTCTCACAATGGAAGTCTGACTTTCTAGGTATTGAGGGTATTTCCTCACTCAGGCGGTTTCCCAGGTCCTCTGTGTCATATTTAGAGGTCATGATACCAGCCTTATTTTCTTCTCTGATATTCAGCACAAAATTTCTTTCACATTTCCAAAATGTAAAAAAAAAAAAAAAAAAAAAGATGAATGTCCTGGATTCAATACTCAGACTATAAAAACATAATTATAAAAGGAGAAAGAAAACTCTGTAAGTGAAAACATTCTTTGTCTCATCCTTCCCAGGATATTCCTCTGGGAAGGTCACCAACTTATCTTAGTCCTGCAGCTAAGTTTCAGCAGAAGGTCCTGATAGGTTTTTTTTTTTTTTTTCTAATTTTTTTTTATTTTAACATTTAGTGTGTGTGTGTGTGTGTGTGTGTGTGTGTGTGTGTGTGTGTGTGAGTG